GAAAATCACCTGAGCTGTCTCAATCCCTTACCCTGGCATGCACTGTCCTGAAATGAAGCTGCTCAAATTCATCGCTTACAGAATGTTGAGGAAAACATGGCAGTGCAGTTAGACTCAGACTTCAGGTTTCCATGAGAATATCACCATAACTTAGAGATCCCTCCTGTTAGATAAAAGGCTAAAAGGAGGAATTGTTTTTACAGCCAGCTCTACCTTAGTTATAAAAAACGCACCGCCCCCCCCCAACTTTCAATATAGGAAGCTAATAAGGTAATCTCAATCTTTAAAACAGTAAAAATAAACTGAAAAGGAAAATGTGTGATTTTTTTACATACCCCTACATTTCCATTCCTGCCTTACTTTCTTGTTTAGAACAGAAAGTAAAAATTATCAGAGAGATGTCACAAAGTTTTGGTCTTGTCTTTTCTTTTTATCACATGGGAGATGGATCTTTTCCGGTCAGGCAGACCAGTGACCATCGTCTCTACACGGCTTATCAAGATTTCCTCTGACCCACGAACAATGAAGCAAAGGTCTTTCAGTAAATGCCACGAGGATACGCCACGGTTAAGAAATAGTCACTCTTTTAGGGTCATGGAAATCCCCGAGTGGGTTTGCCAGGCCATTGATTAAGGGGAAGTGTATGTGGTTATTACCGCTGGAGTTCCCCTAAGTCCTAAGAGGAAAGCACCAGCGCACATGCAAACCACTGGGAGGAGTACAGGACTCCGGGTGTATGGAGGTGGGGGTGGGGAGGTGGGTGGGTCGAGCTGGGTGAGACATTCAAAAGGCAGCGTGACATTCTAGCCCTCCCGAACAGGCGGGGTGACGGGTGTCACCCGAGAAGACTCGGCCAGGACGTCCTTGCTGGCGCGCATCGGCCTCGGGGCAGCAGGTTGGTGACGAGGGCTGCTGCGAGGCTGTGAGCGAGTAAGTGTGCGTGTGAGTGTGTCGCGTGTGTCTGTGTGCGGGAAGCGCTCCCCGCCTCCCGCGCGGGTAGGGGACGCGTCCGCTGCTCCTTGTGGAGGGGCGGGCGGGGCCCGCGGCGGAGGACCGTCACGGGGTGGCACCGTATCCAAACGCCGCTCCGGGGCCCAGAGGTCGGCCCCAGATTGGCTCTCGAGCCCATCAGGGACAGGCAAAAGAATGGGTCCCCCGCGAGCCCGGGGGCCTCTCCCCTCCCGGCGCTCTTCCGGCCGGTCCCCGCCGCCGCCGCCGCCGAGACTTTGCTCTCCCGCCGCCGGGAGGCGCTGGGCGCAGGGCTGCAGGGGCCCGGGGCGAGGGAGGGTGCCCTCCGCCCCGCGCTGCCCTCACCTTCCGTCCGCCTTCCTGCCGGGTGTTCAGTTTCCATTTTACTTTTAAAAGAAACTGGAATAGGAGATGGGAAAGTGGAATGGGAGACCTTTCACAATTGGTTTAATTCGATTGCCAAGAGGTATCACCTGGTCTTTGAGGGTGCCAAATAAGCTACAGGACAGAGCCTGAAGCAGAGCTTAGGCATGGTAAGGACTCAGTAAAATCTTTATTTAGTGAACAAATGAAGGAATGTTTGTTTCCAAGAGGTGGCAGAAAGCAGATTGTTGGTTGTTTCTCTGGTGATCAGCATGGAAACCCTGTAGTGCTCTTAATCTAGTTAGCAAAGTGCTAGAGGCATTTGCCTGATGCTAGAGTAACTAACAATAATGTTAAATTTGTTTGCTATTATTTATTGCTAACAGTAGGTGTTGCTAATACCTACCAGTATGCTAGGACCCCTGTCGAAGACTTTACATGTGTTTTTCAGGTTTAATTCTCACCGTCTTAAGCAGTTACCATAATTATCTCCATTGACGGTGAGGAAACTCAGGCTTAGGGAGAGTTACTTGCCCAAGCAAGGCCACACCCCTGGTATGGGAAGACTGAATAGTATTGGAAACCCAAGGTGTCTGACTCCATTAAGCTGTCAGTGAGCAGACTTTGTAGTTAACATGAAATTGAGGTCCTTAATACCATGCAAATGAGAGTGTTATGGTCATGGAGGGGCTCAGTCAAGTTTGCCAAGGTTCACTTCTTCAACCAAAAGTCTTAGTGTCTGTATTATATGGCAGGCTGGATGGATGTTGGGGGTGGGAGGGCTGGAACAGAGCTGAAACATAGTTCTGCTCTGAAGGAGCTCACAGTCTAGGAGGAAGGAAGAAAGAAAAGGCACACTTACCCCCAGTCTCAGAGACATGGATATGCTAAGTGCCCAAGAGGGTAGAGACACACAACATCCCTGGGATAAGGGAGGTTGCCCAACGGAAATGAAAGTGTAAGAGGAGAAGAGGTTGGGGACTTGAGCCAATCTGAGAGGGAACCACTAGAAAGGAAAGAGGAATTCCAAGAGGGTGGTATCACAGAAGCCAAGCCAGTAGAACATTTCTAAGAGGAAATGGGCCCCAGTGTCAGATGCAAAAATTTCCATTGGTTTTGGGAAAGAAGAGATTGTTGTTATTAATATTGAGAGTAGTTTTAAGTGGTGCTGGCTAAAGCTAATTGTAGTGGGAGACCTTAACCATAGACACTTGTTAGTTCTCTTGGCTGTGAAGAGAAAGTGAGACACAGGGTAGTTGCTCCAGTGGAAAGTGGGGCCAAAGAGGATTTTTTTGTTTGTTTTCATTTGAAAGCTGAGACAGACTTAAGCATGCTCATTATATTGGAGGAAAAGAGCCAGTAGAGAGCAAGAGTTGAAGAAGTGAGGGGGATGGGCTTAAGAACAAAATTTCAGAGGCGATGAGAGAGGATGGGATCCTGCAAAGGGGCAGGTGTCTTTAACTGAGGCAGCAAGTAGGTTGTGAGTGAAATAAGCATGGATTTGAGAATGTGAAAGGATTACTGCTCAGTGATGTCTCTTTTCTTTGAGAAATAGAAGGCCAAGCAATCTACTGAAAGCGAGATGGGGAGTAGTGGAGGAGAAATTTGAGGAAAGGATTGAAGGTTTAGTGGGCTAGGGATAAGGAAAATTGCTAAGGGATGGTGAAGGGCCAGCCAAGGAAGAGTCTGAAGTCTTGCTGGTCCCAGTCTGCAAGGTGGCAGATCTTCCCCAGCAGCATTTAGAAGTCTAGGTGTTGGAAATGGTTAAGACAGAGTTTGAATTGATCCAGGGTTGGCATCTTGGCATATTTTTATATGTTTATTGTATAACTGTTGCCTAAATTTCCACAAACGTGCCTTGTGTCCACACCAGAGCTTCTTTAATGTAGGATCTGTGTAAGGGGTTTGTAATCTCAAATGCATAGAGGCCAGGCAGGTGATATAAATGAACAAAACTGTGGGTGTCTCATTTAAACAAAAACACACTTTGTTTACATATTTAACATGTAGGAATATTCTTCCTTCCATAAAGAAATATAGTGCTCTTATATTTCTTAAAACATGTGTTGCTCTTTGTCTACCTTTCATTTTTGTTACTTTTGATAGACACAGGTATTAGAACAATTTCACTTTCTTTGTAATTCTACTATATGAAAAACAATAGTGCCAGCTTAGTGATAAATAGCAACTGACAGCCAGTCTCTGATCAGGATGCCAGACTGGAGAGCACATGCCCTCTCTAAAGGGTACAGCCCCTGTTCAGCACTAGTTGATTGTTGTCGTGCGGGAATATAAGCCCAGTGTTGCCTGATCTTCTGATTTTACATGAGAAGCTTGGAATCTAGAATGTTATGGGAAATCTCTTATTTTTAAAAATGTTGGTAGTTAATTAAAACATTTAAAAATAATTGTGGTCCAAGAAAGAACTTATTTGGAAAACTGGTGAAGTTCAAATAAGGCATGTAGATTAATTCACAGCATTGTATCAATGATAATTTCCTGGTTTCTGTAATTGTACTATGTTTGTGTAAGATGTTAACTTTGGGGAAGTTGAGGGCAGGGTATTTGGGAACTCTGTTATTTTTGTACATTTTCTCTATGTATAAAGTAATTTCACAATAAAAAGTTAAAAAAATTAGTAAAACACTAGAGTTCAATTCTGTGCAAGTCAAACATAATTCCTCTGCTGGCCACAAGTTTGAGCCCTCTGGCTTTTATCTGGGATTTCTTGGCCTCTATGGTACCTAGCACAGTGCATGGTACAATCAGTAAATACTAGTGCTCTGTTTTGGAGAAAATGTTTAAAAAGAGATGATTGTGTTACATCTATGAATTTTTTGATTTTAAAACTGTCTTTTTTTTTTTTAACAGGTTTTGCAAAAGAAGTGAACTGTTCTACTTCCTCTAATTTTTTCCCCAGTTTTTTTCTATAAATCAAAACATCTCAAAATGGAAGCCTAAAACTCTTAAAAGGGACTTAGTCTAATCTCCGGGAGGTAGTTTTGTGCATGAATAAACAAAGTAGTCAACTGGAGTTTTTGGTATCCAAAGAATGTTAATTTTGAAAATATGATCTAATTATGTGAAGTGTAACTATAAAGTAATAATGAATTTGATTTTGAATTTGACTTGTGGATGTAAAAGAGAAGTGATTGTAGCTGGGACATATTGTTGAACCACTCTTCAAAACTGGCCAGGCACTCTCCCATTGGCTGCTGTGTAGAATAGAAAAAAGTACCTGTGTTTGGTAAAGATTTAAAAATGAGTGATAGTTATCTAGAACAAAAAGTTAATATTCAACCCTCTGCTAAATTAGAGACATATGCAAATAACACCTTTGACATGTTAAAAGCCTTCTACAATCATAAAGAAATGTCAAGAACAAAAATTTTTGATAGGTACAACAAATTGAGAGAAAGTATGAAAGATAAACGTGATGATTGGTAAAGAAATTAACCATTTATAAGACTTGATATTTTAAAAGTCTAAAGTTTAGTTTGTTCAAATGGGTTGTTATCTCTGAGATTAATAAGAATGAGATTGAGGGCTGGATGGTTACATTTTGGTAAGTGAACAAACTTATTCAGAAAGAAAATTTACACAAAGAGTAATAAACACCAAGAAGATTTTTATAACAATGTGTAAACTTTTTGACCAATGAAGAACATACTGAAGTTAGACACAATAACTCACCTTTGAGGGAAATAATCACAGGTATTGAGATACATTTCTCCAGCCACCTGGAAATAAAAAGTCTGCAGTAGAAAATGCCAACACCTGTGGGACCCAGGAAACCATGCTTGCAAATCACTGCTAGGAAAACCATGATGACTTGTTTATTGGTCATTGCTGATGTCATTGATGCAGAATCTATTTACTAATAGCTAGTCATAATTGAGAAATTCTGAATTTTGAGAAGGTCTCTGCTGTTCAAGAAGAGTGGATTATAACAAAGTAAATTTATTATTATTTTTTATCATGATAAATTCTGGTTCAAGGTATGCGATCTGTGAGATAATTTATGACCAAAGCCAAATTTGCACAGTTTGATTATCCATCTCAGCCTACAGACTCAGCACTCTGACTTTTGACTGTTTTTGAAAATAAATCCGCTATCAGAGTAGAAGATTTGGTGTTGGCTCTCAACAGAGTGAAGCTGAGCCTGAAAGACCAATTGAGCAAATACATTCTTCTCTGATAATTCATTTGAAATAGAACATTTAATTTGCTAAGATCCAATGGTATCACTATGACTAAGCAACCAGGTTCCTGACTACCTATAGGAAGTAATTATTATTTAATTAATTTTGAAACCAGGCCTTAAAATGTATCAGCTAATTCTTTTACAATTTGAGCACTTTATTTGGAGGAAAATTTTAGATTGTTTTGCTCTCCCTATTAAAATGATTGTGGGAAGAAAAATTACTTAATTTGAGCAATATTTGGGATATATTATATTTCATTGAATCTAAGATGTTATCAATTGTAAGACACATCATTATTTTATGTACCTCTAAGAAATAAAAATGCTGCTAATTAAAATATGACGTGCCATTAATTGTAAAATACCTCTTGATAACAGAGATATTAAAACATGCATCTTAGAATCAGTGAAATATAGTAATGCATTCTTTTCCTTTTTTGAGGTAGATCTTACATTTGTTTTTTGTTTTTTTTTTTCTGGCTACCAAACTTCAAAATTTGAAAAAAGCAAAATAGAAATAGTTTAAATATTTTTATGGGTAGAGCACTTATAGAGCATAGCTTTCCACCATGAAAACAAGCTAGCTGCGTGAGTCAGACGTTTTATCTTCAGGCTGGCCGAATGTCACCGAAGCATTCTAGCGGAGAAGTTGACCTACCTGTGGAGATGCCTGACCCTCAGTGGCATCTTGATGTCCTAAAGCACTATACACTTTTACAAAGTGTTTTAACTTTCATCACAAGGTACTGTGTACCATCATGTTTACATTGTATGTATAAAGACTATACAAAGATGTAGTTGTGCAAATTGTCCCTTAAAATGTATTGCTATAGGATTTAAAATCTCACCGTGCTGAAACCCTAAATTCATAGAAGAAAAAAGAATGAAAATTTTCGCATTCTAGGTGTTCAACCTAGTACTAAAACTAACAAAAATCAAAAGCCATGCACAAAACTACCTCCCCAGAGAGAGGCTAGTCCCTTTTCATCCCCATCCATTTCATTATGAACATAGTAGAAAATAGCGTCTTCTTATCAAATTTGATGAAAAACGCGAACACGTTTGAATTGAAATACGACTTGTCTTGTGAACTGTACCGAATGTCTACGTATTCGACTTTCCCTGCTGGTGTCCCTGTCTCAGAAAGGAGTCTTGCTCGTGCTGGTTTTTATTACACTGGCATGAATGACAAGGTCAAATGCTTCTGTTGTGGCCTGATGCTGGATAACTGGAAACAAGGAGACAATCCTATTGAAAAGCATAAACAGCTATATCCTAGCTGTAGCTTTGTTCAAAATCTAAATTCAGTTAACATTTCAGGAGCCACCTCTCAGCTTGCTTTTTCTTCTTCAGTAACAAATTCCACACATTCATTACTTCCAAGTTTGGAAAACAGTGGATATTTCAGTGGCTGTTATTCAAGCTTTCCATCAAATCCTGTAAACTCTGGACCAAATCAGGAGTTTTCTGCCTTGAGCACAAGTCCCTACCATTGTGCAATGAATACTGAAAAAGCCAGATTACTTACTTTCCAGATGTGGCCTCTGACCTTTCTGTCGCCAACAGATCTGGCAAAAGCAGGCTTTTACTACATAGGACCTGGGGACAGAGTGGCCTGCTTTGCCTGTGGTGGAAAATTGAGCAATTGGGAGCCAAAGGACGATGCTATGTCGGAACACCTGAGACATTTCCCCAACTGCCCATTTTTAGAAAATCAGCTTCAAGACACTTTAAGATACACCGTTTCTAACCTGAGCATGCAGACACACGCAGCCCGCTTTAAAACGTTCTTTAACTGGCCCTCTAGTGTTCAAGTTCATCCTGAGCAGCTTGCAAGTGCGGGTTTTTATTATATGGGTAAGAAACTTAATCTGACAATACTAAAAAACATTCAACGCGTTTTTTATACTTTGGTGGGCAAATTATATGTATTCATAAATTTTGGTCCAAAATTAATTTTAGGTCACAGTGATGATGTCAAATGCTTTTGCTGTGATGGTGGATTGAGGTGCTGGGAATCTGGAGATGATCCATGGGTGGAACACGCCAAGTGGTTTCCAAGGTAATGGTTTTGAAATTCTCTTTGCAAATGTGTGTGATTATCATGAGATGGTTATATGTATTTACCTTGTAGTCAGCTGTTACTTTATTCTATTTCAAAAATACATTTGTAATTAAATTTAGGATGGATTACTTAGAAAAATAATTGCTTAAAAGATTTTGATGGAAATTTAAGACAAAGAAGAAATAGGTTTGGGATTTTTTTGTGTGTGTAATTAAAAATATATGTATGTATTTAAAATAATATATACTTATTATAAAACCAAAATTATATGTTGTAGAAAGGTAGAGACAAAAAATTAAAATGTCCAGAAATCTCACCACCTAAAGATGACCACAGTTACTATTTTAGTGAACATCCCTCCAGACATCTCTTTATGCATTTGTACATATGTAGATAAATGTATACAATTTTACATGAATTAGATATTATAGATATATTATACATACTGTTTTGAAACTTTTTTTCAGTCTGTATTATGACTTGGACATATCTCCATTCATTTTCTAGGTACTTAAAATATCCCATTGAACAAAACCAAGACTCCTGGTCTCACATGCTAATCTTACAGCAGGAGAGGGCAGACAACTAATAAAAATTTAATAGATAAGTTATGTAGCATGTTGGAAGATAGTTAAGTGCTATGGATAAAAAAGAAAATAGAGAGCACGGTAAGGGAGATCAGAAGCACCAGGCAGGTTGTGATATTAAAGAGGTGATCAGTGTAAATATAGACTCATCTCATCTGTTTTGATGACTACATAGCATTTATTGCCATGTCTTACACTTTTGTTTATTCCATACTTGTTTATACTCTCCTTTGTTTAATCAAAATTAAGTGGCCTTTAATTATATTTTTTATGGTCAAAACTTTTAGTATTTTTAATGTTGATTACTAAATTTGGTATCTTATTTTCATTATATAGGTTTTTAAATATAATACTGTATCTTCATTTATAGCAACTTTGTGCTCTCCAAATATTTCAGATGTCAAAATTATGAAGATTATAAAGAACACCTTACACAGGCATTTTAAAAAAATGTTGCTAGCTTTCCATTGTGGTAATTTTGTGAATATATAAAAAGAATGGTGAATTTGCTTTGGTAGTGTCGTGAATTCATTTTGTACTTAAATCTGACAATGGATGTATGTTATCTGGGAATTGCCAAACTTGTGAATATCTGACTTATTAGAAAATGTGTTCAGCTTCCTCATTCTTTCTCTCTTGTCCCTCTTTGTATATTTTCAGCTTTTAAACGTGCAAAGCTTATGCATGAACAGTATCGTTTATTAGAGAGCTTTCTACCTGTCTCCTTGTTCTGTTCTTAATGTTCAAAGTGTTTTAGGACTCAGAATAGTTGAAGAGAGCAGCAGGAACTCTGAGTGAAGACCGCCTAACTCCAGTGGCTTGAGAGCCTCACGACCTTTATGCACTTCAGCCTTGGCAGATGACCCATTAGAGCCCTCCTCTTGCTCACATCATCTTAGCTCTGACTGCGGTGTCTCTTACCACTTCTTATGTGCTAAACGAATAGTCAAGTGGTTATATGTATGTTTATATTCATTTGAAATATTTAGCAGCCTACAAATGGCCTGATTAAAATAACCCCCCAAATTTAATTTTGTTTACCTTTCAGGTGTGAGTACTTGATACGAATTAAAGGACAAGAGTTCATTAGTCGAGTTCAAGCCAGTTACCCTCATCTACTTGAACAGGTAGGGATGGTTTTTTTGTTTTTTGTTTTTGGTAAGGAACATTAGCTAGCCCTGAGCTAACATCGGTTGCCAATCCTCCTCTTTTTGCTGAGGAAGACTGGCCCTGAGCTGACATCTGTGCCCATCTTCCTCTACTTTACATGGGATGCCGCCACAGCATGGCTTGATAAGCAGTGCGTAGGTCTGCACCCGAGATCCGAACCTGTGAACCCTGGTCTGCAGAATCGGAGTGCGGGAACTTAACCACTATGACCCAAGCCAGCCCCTTTTCTGTGTTTTTTAAAATCATTGGTCAACAACAGATAAATTATTTTCTGACAATTACAGAGAGTAGTGAAAAGAAAGAGTTGCTTTAAAAATACATTTGCTTTTTTACAACATCCAACATGATCTTAGTACAATTTTTTGAATAAAAACAGATTCAGAATTAGAAACTTCCTGAAAAATAGTATTTAAGTTATGTTTCTCTCTAAGTATTTCTCCAGTAAAGTTGCAAATAAATTAAATTATTTGAGGAAAAAAAATTGGCTGGATAGTAGCATTTAATAGTTTTACTATATAAATTTTTTTAAAAAAAGTTTTGAGAAAGAGAATTGTATTGCTCTTTCTAATCTTCCTGGAAAAGCAAATAAGAACTTATATAATAGTTTGAGGGCCAAACATTTCCTAGCCATAGTCAATGGAACTGATATAGGGTCCAACTTATCCCAAAGGATGACCCAGGAAACATAAGATCTTTGGGATGAAAGGCAAACAATGATTGTCTCATAGATCATTGATAAGATGTAGCCCTTTTCCTGCTTTAGTGAAAATAGATTTTATTTGTTAATACACACACACACACACACAAAGAAACTCTATTAGTTTATGGCCTAGAGAATTACTGTTGAATGTAAATGAAATATTGCTTTTGACATAAAAAATTATTTTGCCAGTAAGCAAATCAGTTTGCAGTAAATTGAATAAAATAGGTCTCTTGATTCATTTTTATTGCAATGGACAGGATAAGATTTATATTTTAATTTACCTATTTTTTTTCTGTAGCTATTATCTACTTCAGACAATCCAGAAGATGAAAATATAGAGTCACCAAGTATGTATAATGACAATAATTACTGAATTTAAATAGAATCATTTGGTACTGTTAAGATTGAAAGTTGATAATAGTAATAATGTATATTTGTATCATGGTTTATAATTTACAATGCATTTTCAAATACATTAAGTTGGTATTTCTCAAACTTCAGTACATATCATAATTGCCTGAGGAACTTTAAAAACATATTACAGGTTCTAATCTCCACTTTAAACCTACTGAATTGAATCATAGTATCTAAGGTTAGGGCTTGAGCATCCATAATTTTAAGAAACTACATACATCCAGCCTAACCCTTGTTCTCAGACCAGTGTGGGAACAGATGCACTATGACATCAGATTGCTCACATATTCTTCCTATGAAATGGAGACGATAGAAAATATTATTCCCATTCTTCAGTAGGGACCCTGAGGCTCAGAGAAGTTAAGTGACCTGTCCATCACCTTAAACCTAAAAGGCGGTAGAACCAGTATTTGAACAAGCTCTTCTACTCTTTATCTAGTATTCAATTCAATTCAATAACTATTTATTGTGCATCTGCTCTTCTGAGGAAAGAAGAGAAAACAGAATAAACATGACACCTGCGCTCATGAGCTAGTAGTCTAAGGGACACAGACAAATACACAGAAAGAAGAAAGAGATATGGCAGGGAAAGTAAAGTGAACTATGAGAGTGCGTGAGGGACAAGTAACACAGACTTGGAAGATCAGAAAAGGCTTTCCAGAGGAAGTATTTGTCTTAGCACAGAATTGAAGGGAAGAGCAGTAGTTAATCAAATGACAGAGGGAGTGAAAGGATATTCCAGGCAGAGAGAACAGCACATGAAAGACTTAAGTGACAAAAGAGAACAGACACGTTTGAAGAACTGAACAAAATTCTGTATGCCCAGTAGTAGGATTTGCAAACAGATAATGAATGAAGCAGGCCCGCTGTAAGAGTGGTCAGCCCTGCAGGCAGAATTTGACCCAGAGCCATCAGTTTGTGACTTCTGGGCTAGAGTATAGAATGTGAATAAGTGGCAAGAGATGAGGCTGAAGAGGTAAACAGGATCCAGATTGTGTGAGGTTGTGTAAGCCACAATTGAATGTTGTCCTAAGAGCAATGGAATTGTTGATGGAATCTAAGAAGGAGTATGACACAATCAGATTTGTGTTTTTAAAAAGTCACTCTGGTTGCAAAGTTGAGAATGAACTAGACAGGAGCAATATTGTAGGAGGCCATTGCAGTAACAGAGGTGAGAGATGACAATGGCCCCTTTCAAAAATATGTGAAACACTTGATTTATAAAGCTCATTTGTTCATTCAACATGGGGAAAAGGGAGTCTCAGTGCTGGTGGGGGTGATCCCTGGCATTCTGCTTCTTTCTCCTACTCGCAGTTATGCCAGACAATGCATATTTTGTATCTGAATACAATATTCCATATTCTTATTTTAGTGACTGAACATGTATATCATTATTTTAAAAATTATGTTAAAAAAGTTAAATAGAGTTAAAAAAGTTAATAGAAAATAGTGCCTATATATTTTCTGGGCTTTATGTTTTTGATATTATAATAAGTTTCAATTTAAAAAATATACAGACTATCCCAATATGTGTTAAATTCTTTATGCCATATAGTTATTCATTTTGGACCTGGAGAAAACCATTCAGAAGACGCAGTCATGATGAATACACCTGTGGTTAAAGCTGCCTTGGAAATGGGCTTCAGCAGAAGGCTGGTAAAACAGACAGTTCAGAGCAAAATCCTAACAACTGGAGAGAATTACAAAATCGTCAGTGATCTTGTATTAGACTTACTTAATGCAGAAGATGAAATGAGGGAAGAGGAGAAAGAAAGAGCAACTGAGGAAAAAGAATCAGGTACACACATTTATTAATACAGCTCTATTTGCATAAGGATTTGATGTCACTGTATGTAAGTTGCTGAAAATATACTCATAGTCAATCCAATTAGATTTTTATGTTCATTATTCTGAATCTGAATTCTGAAAAATTTCTTCACACTAATATATGTTTGAATTGCTTATTAGTAAATCGAAAATGTTTATATTGAGTGAATGCATCTTTTCTTCCTTTTTCTTAATTTATATTTTTACTCTGGGTAGTTGACTGTATATGTAATTATTCATGGCATGTTTTTGGTCCCAGGCTAGTTGCTCATTTCACTTTTCTGTAAATTAGGGTGGAATCAGGGACAATGATTAATTTTAATATTAGCATAACAGTATGTCTCAGCCTGTGACTGTAAATTAGTGTTACAAATATGATTAAGTTCCCTACCTGCCCACATAAGAACTGAGTTCCCCTTTGGAGTGTCCCTCTGTCATTTAGGGGAGTCCTGGGATACTGTTTCACATTCTCTCAGGACAAGTTACCTGTGTCCTTCCATGCTAGCCTTGTCTGCTACTCTATTGCCTCTACTCTATTGCTGTTCACAAAACTCTCTTCCTCTGAGCATGTCCATTCTCAGCGAGTAGCTCTGACTGCTGTCATCACTCTGCCTAGACAAAGAGAAATGTTGATCTCTCCTTTCCACTCTTTCCCAAGCATGGACCAGATTGGAGAGAACTTTCAACACAGCTGAAAACAGACTGCAACTTTTAACAAGCTCTTACTGGAGATTTAGAGATAACAGAAGGGCATTCTATCACAGATGGCAATTGACAACTGTAACTACAAGTGGCCTCTCTTGGTGCCCCTAAGCCCATCCTCATGAGTCTTTCTGCCTAACTTCTGGTTCGTCTCTGTGCAGCTCTGGCCAGTTTACACAAATGACTAGGAAAGCCCCAACCATGTTTTCCCTTCTCAGAGCCCAGGCCCTCAAATATCCACAAAACCTAGAAAGGGAAAAGAGTTAGCCCCTTATTTTTGCCCAAGGCCATATGGGATGTATTTCTTCCCAACATGATTGTCAGTGAGATTGTCCATTCCATTCCTGGATAAACCTACTCCTGCCCACGAAGGTGGATTTGTCTTCTGGTCAACCAGACAAATGTATCAGACCATAGTAATACAGTATCCTATATTTACCCAAGTGTGAATTATTCAGTCCTACACATCACCAAGACAGCAGCAACATAGTCCAAATTCATCTTTGCCCAGCCTAGTCAAGTTCTCTTTTTCACCGTGAAGATCAGGCTGCGTGTCCTTCCTGTAGTCTTCACAGTCTTAGCCGTTGGTCATCAGTGAAGAATGTCTCAAAGAAGAGAACACCCATCTTCACAATTGTTTATAGACCCTATGAAGCCTAAAGTCATCCAGCTATAAAATATTTTTATTTCTTCCAAAGAAAATCAACAAAGTCTCCAGAGATGACTCCAAGTCAACAATATACAATTATTTGCATTGTCAAAAAGATCTGGTATCTTCTCAGCTCACCATTATATCCATACTACCTAGCAGAGTCTGCACGTAGTCTGTGCTTGAGAAATATTGTGAATGAGTGAATGAAAATACTTATATTTAGGTTGCTGATCACTTTATAGTTTCCCAAGAACAGTGGGTGAGTAATTTCTTGACAGGTGTGTAGATAAAGAGGTAATTTAGGTTATTTTTTTTCCAGAATAAAAGAATAATATGCTTCAAAGGTATATTCAAGTCTTAACGTCTTATAAGCCAGAATGTAGTCTATGACTTTGAAATAAGACTTTTTTCCTCAGCTATTAGCAATCCAGTTTTAGAAATCTTAAAAATTTCAGAGAACTTATTACATTACGTTAAGTACAATGTAACTAGAAAAATAAATCTTAGATTGAAAAACTAATATACTTCAATATCAAGTGTAAATTATATTTTAATTTTCTAATATATCACTACTTCTCTGATGTAGATTATTTAACAGAATATAAGTTCTAACTCTTCTACCCCTCTGACTATTACTTCTTTGTTCCCTCTGCTCTTTAAATTACTAAGCCTTTTGGTTGTTCATTTGTTCAACAGATATTTATAGAGCGTTGACTTTGTGCCAGATGTTGTTCTAGGTCCTGGTCCTTTTCTCATTTATTCCCAGAGCTTCAATTTTCTTCAAACTGTATATCTCTAGCCTTGACTTTTTGACTAAGCACTATTTTTCATTCTTTACTAAATGGTTCTATTTAAGTGTCCTATTATTTGACAAAATCAGTGTTTCTAAAATCCGACAATTATCTCCTCCCAAATAATTCTTCTTTAGATAGCCCATCTTCTGTCATTAGTTATTTTATAGAAGTGGCTTTATGGATCAAGGCAAAACTATATGATAATTACTTAATAAACTTAGATTCATAAGTCATATTCCAAAGGGATAATAAAATTGCAGAGTTTCCAGATATAAAATATTTTACCAATAGATACAAAATCCAGATCTTGAAGGAGAATACAATGATCCTATAGGACAGGAAGGTGCTATTGACAAGTGGGATTTATTTTTCAAAATGCTCATAGTGCTTTTCTCCCCTTGCTATAAAATATTTAGGTAATGGCAATATCATGTCTAATTTGGAGAAATAATTAAAATTTCATCTTAAAATGGAATCTTAAAGAAATTTTATGAGTAAATGATAATTTAAGAAAAAAAATGTTCTATCATTTTAATTCTTCCCCAATTTGATTAGATTGAATTGAAATTTCAATTTTATCAGGTTGTAAGTTTTATTTGGTTAAAGGCTTGGCAGTGTTGCGGAATGGTTGAGAGCACAGATTATGACACCAAACTGCCTTGGTTTGACTTTTGCTAGTTGTGTGTCCTTTAGCAATTTACTTGCCTCACTGTGCCTGTTTTCTCATCTGTTAAATCAGGTAGTACCTACTTCAAAGGGCTGGTGTGAAGATGAAATGAGTTAATGCATGTAAAGTGCCTACCACGGTGCTCAGTAAATGTTAGTCCTTATTATTAGCAGCATTATTATTAGGCACAGGGGATCAGATACCCCCAAATCTAGCAATCAACTTCAGTGTCTGATTATGAATGATGCTTGTTTTTCATTCAGTAATATGTGTAGGTGTGGAAGGAAGTTTGTGAGCAGAGTTTCATCATGTTTGTGTTTTTCTTTTTTATAAAGATGATCTCTCATTAATCCGGAAGAATAGAATGGCACTTTTTCGACATTTGACATGTGTGCTTCCGATCCTTGATAGTCTACTAATTGCCAGAGTGATTAATGAACAAGAATATGATGTTATTAAACAGAAAACACAAACATCTTTACAATCAAGAGAACTGATTGATACTATTTTAGTAAAAGGAAATTTTGCTGCCACTGTATTCAAAAACTCTCTACAAGAAATTGACCCCATGTTATACAAGCATTTATTTGGTGAGTGCTGGAAAACTACTTTTGGGAACTTTCTAGGTCAATTAAAATATTCTCTTATTAATAATGTGATTATTGAAAATAATTCAATCTAATTTATAAACCATTAATTGCACAAAAAGGCTAAAGACTTTTGTTGCCTTGACATTATGACAATTATTTGTAGTATTTGGCCAGACTCTAAACTGTTAGTTTAAAAATATATATTCTGTGACTAAATATAAACCTTATTTGTCATAGTAATACTTTTTCTTTTTCTCCCTTAGTGCAACAGGACATAAAGTATATTCCCACAGAGGATGTTTCAGGTAAAATATTATATTAATATTATTAGTATTAATAATTTAAACCAGTAGGAAACATTGTTTTTATTTTCTTGGCATTCATTGGAGAAGCAGCAGCAAATTGCTTTTTATTAAAAGTTCTTTTCTTTTCTTAGATTTATCAATGGAAGAACAACTGAGGAGACTACAAGAAGAAAGGACATGTAAAGTGTGTATGGACAAAGAAGTGTGCATAGTGTTTATTCCTTGTGGTCATCTAGTAGTCTGCAAAGATTGTGCCCCTTCCCTAAGAAAATGTCCTATTTGTAGAGGTACAATCAAGGGTACAGTTCGTACATTTCTGTCATGAAGAAGATCCAAAACTTCATCTAAACTTTAGAATTAATGGACTAAATGTATTATAACTTTAACTTTTATACATATTTGGTTTCCTTAAGATTTTTTATTTATTTACAACTCAGAAAATTTTGTTTTGTATAAATATAAATATATAAATATATTTATATAAATATGTATCTAAAACATATGAACATATGTATTTTAGATAGCAGGAGAATGGTAGGCTTTTGTTCTTGTGAACAAAAAATAGAGACAGCACTACAAGCACAATACTAAATCAAAATTTCAGCACTATTGAAATTTTTAGTGAAGTAAAATTGGAGATTTTTGAATTAACCTTTCAGAATATTAAAATATTTTGGAGTTGTATTTAGAACCGGGAACACGGATTTTCTGCCTTTTTGATTGGTGTCCTATACATACAAGGTCTTGATATTTGTTGAATGACTTTTTAGGAACATGGTGTTTTTGTAAAGAATTCTGTAATAAACATTTTAATAAAGCAATCAAAATTACTCTTGTTCTTAATATCTTTATTTCTACTATCTTGGATAGTTTAGCCACTCCTAGGCTCTTTCCATACCTCCTTAAGACCTGTTGAATATTGAACTACAGTTTAGATCCCTTTCTATAAGATGCTTTTTCATTTATACCTGCAGAGCATGGGGTCAACCACACCTGGCTTTAATCTATAGGATTTTATGGCATGTCTGAGACGAAATCAAACAATCCTCTCAGTAAGTTTGTTTATTCATTTGTCTGTTGATTCATTCTGGAAGTCTCATGCCAACCCGACCCACTAGGAAAAGCCCTAGTTTTATTCTTACCACTTTGGTGTTAATTCTAGGACTTAGAAAGTACCGTGGTTAGCAGCCCTTGGAACCAACAGCTTGTTCTGGTAAATAAATTTTTTCTGTACTGTCGGTGCAGCAAAATTTCCTCCTTTGCATTACTTTTTGGTACTCAACATGTCCAATTCATAATTCTCTATCCTTTGTTTCTTGTAGAGTTATTAAGGCTTTAACACCAGTAGTAACACTATAACAGGGAATATTTTGGGGGGACAGACAAAGGCCAATTGTCTAAACCAGTTCTAGATGTCTGGTAGGGTTGAATCCATCTCTTCATTCTGATGCTGGGAGACTCTTTCTTTGGGATGCAACTGATTTTGCCACTCTGTTAAAAGGTTCAGTTGGCTAGCCACAGTGTCCTCTTGGGGTGCTAGGCTGAATTAATAACAATTTTGCTTAGGTGATTTGTAACTCAGCTATGTATAAATATTTAGACAGTCTATACCCTTTTTGCAACATCTATTTTTTATCTGATTCTTATTGCATACTACACTCTATCTCCACTGTGAAACTCTTGTTCATTTCTCATTTTGGTAATATACAGCTAACATAATCAACTTATTTATTCAAATATTTTGTTATTTCCTTAAGTGTTAATTAAATTGAAATTTTGTTTTGGAAAAAATAAATCATTGTGGATAATAATGGTAGCTCCATTTGCAGATGATATGTCAGGCACCATTTTTGGGTGCTTGACATGCATTAATTCATTTGATTCTCTGCAACCTCACCCCCCTTCCAAGCTGGCCTTTAGTTCCCAGAATTGGGTAGATAATTTAACCTCAGTATACAATATATAATAAGTGATATAATTCAGGACTATGCAGTGGGCTTAATTTCATACTTAGGTCATGCTCATTATAACTTTCATCCCTTCTTTTTTGTGTGTGTGTGAGGAAGATCAGCCCTGAGCTAACATCCATGCTAATCCTCCTCTTTTTGCTGAGGAAGACTGGCTCTTCAGCTAGCATCTATTGCCAATCCTCCTCCTTTTTTTTTTCCCCCAAAGCCCCAGTACATAGTTGTATGTCACAGTTGCACATCCTTCTAGTCCCTGTATGTGGGACGCAGCCTCAGCACAGCCGGAGAAGCTGTGCGTCAGTGTGTGCCTGGGATGCCAACCCAGGCCGCCAGCAGCGGAGCGCGTGCACTTAACTGCTAAGCCACGGGGCAGCCCTCCATGTTTCTTAAATGAATGAGAGTTAAATAATTTGTTCAAGGCCATATAACTCAAGGAGAAGCAGCAGAGATTAAAGCAAAACCTGTTGTACCTTAACACCCAAGTTTTATACAGTGCGACGTATTGCATAAACTTCAGACTGGAATGATTTTGAGCTGTCATCTTTTTAAAAGTATATGTTTTCAATATTTAATATAATCTAGTTTACCTAAGATGGGAAGACAATTCAAATTTCTAAGTCACTCAAAGTTTTGTTTATCTATTTATTGAGCTTTTCTAAGGCTTTTGAATAATTCTACTACAGATTCAACTGCTCAGTCTCCGGTGTGATTTCTTTCTGAAAAACCACAGGAAAAGCCTTCCCTGGACCTGCATGAATTTTTGGATCCTAGAAGTTTTTTATCTTTCCTCCCTTGACAGGAAATATATAGGGAAAGAACAAAGTCCTCTATGTCTTATGCTGGACAGCGTGGCTTATGATTAGTTTCTCCAATCATAAGGCTCTTCCTTGCTGAGTTTGAGGATTTGAGAGCTTATTAAAGAAAAGACCACAAGGTGGCAGTAGCACACAAGGAGCTTTATTTTGGTGGTGCCTGACAGGGTGCAGGCAAGGGGAAGGTCCCTCACAGCAGGAGCCCTGTCAGAGACAGAAGTGTAGGGCCACCACCAGAAGAGGAAGAGGGCAAGGCAACCCCCAGGCAAGAGGGGAACCAGAGAGGAAGCTTATATGTCTATCTAGGTGATGTTGCACAACAGTTAGATGGGGAGTCTCTGAGTCAGGGAGCTCTGAGGGGCAGCCACAGCTTAGGGTCTTTTATAGCCTGAGAGTTTGTCTTTAGCTAGTGAATGCTGGGTATGCAAAGCAGGTGGGCTCTAAATGGCTTAAACTATGGTTATTTGGGATATATTTAAAGCAATTAGATGTGTAAAAATTTGAGTTTGGCGCAGGCAAGCTTTTGAGCTAATGGTCCCAGCCTCCCGTGAAGAAGTAAACAGTGTGAGACCAATACACAGGGGCCATATTTAACCTATTTACATAAACCTTTATCATCCTAACTTTTAACTCATTGATTTTTGAGATTAGAGCTGCTGAGATTCTAGTTTACATTAAATGATTAAAGTTCACTAATTAAGCTTTTAAATAATATTTCTGAAATTTAAAAAATTTGACTTTTGATACAGATGACAAAATTTCAGTTGTCATGAACATTCAGATTCTCCACAATATAACTTTAGAAATCTTTTCTGCAGCTATCTTGATCAAGTCATCATGCATAAAATAAATTGATTAAACCAAGATAGTTTTCAGATTCTTCCTAGTTCCAAAACCCTAATGAAAAGGTCTTATGAAAAAAAAAATCCAAAGTCTTAAGACAGATTGAGTGATGTTTTTTCAACAGATGGAAAGGTAATGCTTCTAAGTAACTAAAAGTTGGGGAGAGAAGTTGCGATGTGGCCAAAATTTCCAAATTCTTAATGTGTTGTGTTCTGTTTATTTAATTTTTTGATGAAATACTTCAAAAATTCAGGAAAGTATACATTTCATCTGTGTACTGAGGGGAACCAGCCCAAAATGAGCCTGTTTGGCATACAGACTATTCTGAGCTAAAGACCATTGAGAACCAGCACGAAAAGCTCTAAAAACAGGGCACAAGTTTTCCTTTCCTAAAGGAAATTTACTTTTATAAATTTCCATTTGTAGAGACATCTCCCTTTTCAGTATCAGGAAGAGAAAGACTCTTTTAACAACTCTTATCAAAGGAGAGGGCACGGACTTAAATCTGCCTAACAAACCTTACTAAACAACTCAATTTTTTTCCAGTTTTATTGAGAAATAATTGACATACATCACTGTATAAGATTAAGGCGTAAAGCATGATGGTTTGATTTACATATATTGTGAAATGATTACCATAATGGGTTCAGCTAATATCTGTCTTCTCATATAGATACAATAAAAAGAGAATAAAGCAGAAAAAAAAAAGGAAAAAAATTTTTCTCCTTGTGATGAGATCTCTTAGGATTTATTCTCTTAACAACTTTCCTGCATATCATATAGCAGTGTTAACTATAGTCATCATATTGTACATTACATCCCTAGTACTTATTTATCTTTTACTAGAAATTTGTACCCTTTGATCACCTTCTTCCAATACACCCCCCCCACCCCCCTACTCTCACCTCTGGTAACCATAAGTCTGGTCTCTTTTTCTATGAATTTGGTTTTTTTTTTTTTAAGACTCCACATATAAGTGAGATCATACAGTATTTGTCTTTCTCCGTTTGACTTATTTCACTTAGCATAATGCCTTTAAGGTCCATCCCTATTGCAAATGGTTAGGATTTCCTTGTTTTTTTGTTTTTTTTTAAGAGACATAAGGTGAGTTTACTTGAGCCAGAGTGAGGATTATAACCCGAGAAGGCCTTAGAAGGCATTCTGGACTCCTCGCTTTTTTATGGCTTAATAGTATTCCACTGTGTATGTGTGTGTGTGTATATATATATATATATATGTATATACCACCACTTCTTAATCTATTAGATTGTTTCCACATCTTGGCTATTGTAAATAATACTACTGTGAATATGGTTGTGCAGAGATCTTTTCGAGGTAGTGGTTTTTTATTTTTATTTTTTGTGAGGAAGATTAGCCCTGAGCTAACATCTGTTGACAATCCTCTTTTTCCTGAGGAAGATTGGCTCTGGGCTAACATCCATGCCCATCTTCCTCTAGTTTATATGGGATGCTGCCACAGCATGGCTTGACAAGAGGTGTGTCAGTCCGTGCCCGGGATCCGAACCTGGGAACCACGGGCCACTGAAGCAGAGCGCTGGACCTTAACTGCTACACCACTGGGCCGGCGCCTCGAGTTAGTATTTTTATTACCTTTGGATATATTCCCAGAAGTGAAACTGCTGAATCATATGGTAGTACTATTTTTAATTGTTTGAGGATCTTCTATACTGTTTTCCATAGTGCCTGTACCAATGTACAATCCACTGACAGGGTACAAGGATTTCCTTTTCCCCACATCCACACCAAACATTTGTTATTTCTCGTCTTTTTGATAATGGCCATTCTAACAGGCAACACAAACAAAAAAATATTTGTTATTTTTTGTCACTTGTACTTTAGGTGTCATATCCAAAAAATTATTACCAATATCCGTGTCAACGAACTTTTTCCCTATGTTTTCTTCTAGGAGTTTCATGGTTTCAGGTCTTACATTTAAGTCTTTAACCCATTTTGAGTTAAGTTTTGTGAGTGGTGTTAAGATAGGGGTCTAGTTTTATTCTTTTACATGTGAATATCTAATTATCCCAGCACCATTTATTGAAGCGACTATCTTTTCTCCATTGAGTATTCTTGGCTCCCTTATCAAACATTAGTTGCCTATATAGGCTTGGGTTTACATCTGGGCTCTCTATTCTATTCCATTGTTCTATTTGTCTGTTTTTAGGCCGGTACCATACTGTTTTGATG